CCAATAAATAAAGAGAGAGTATTCGCCGAGACACTTGGTACATGTAGTTTTCTTGTGGGATAATCCATGGAGACCCGGGCTGCAGGTCTCCGTGAGGCCCCGAAAGCCTGGGCGTCTGATTTGGCTCAAAATGAGAGAAAAATGGTTTGATCTTATGGATATCTGCCCTTTCATAGATGGCCACCGACTAGAATAGCTTGATGGAATACAAGACCAAGGGCGCCGCAGGGGCGTTCCAAAAAGAACTGGGACTTTCTGAGAATACAAGCAGTTGCTCTTTGCAGAATAGTTGTTAAATGACTAAATGAATCAGTGAAAGAAGAAACTTATTAGAGGAAAATATTGCTATAAATGATTTTCTTGGAGGGGATGGTTGGGGAAATGAGAGTAATACGTTTAGAAACTTCTAATCTGTTGCTTTTACTTCTAAAGTGAAAACCTCAACTAGTTCCACCATTTTTGTGAAACTTGGCCCTTCAAAGTAATTGGAAAGAAGGCAGAGCTGCCTTCTAAAATTTGCCAATTTTTCCCTAAAATTGCAAAGGTGATTCTGAGCTTCAGTGGGCCCTTTCAAGCCTTGCACTGATTTTCACTGAAAATGTCATGTGTCCTGTGCTGTGTGTGTGCTGTGGTGAGCGTGCACGCGTGGGTTTTAAGAGAGCCCCCCGGTGCCAGCCTTTGCTGTCTGAGGCAGCGGCCCCGGAGCCCGAAGGGACGCCTTCTCTCAGGGACTCCAGACCCAACTGGCGGCTCCACGAAGGCACTGCCTCCTTCCCTGTGTCGTGAAATTAGTTCTTGGTTAGATTTCAATTCAGGTGTCTGTTCTCACTCATGTCATTTCATAGTATCCTCACATTTTACAGACAACACATTTTCAGAGTCTGAGCTTCACGAAGGTAGGGCCCTTGTCCCTTTTCGTTCCTCATTTTATTCTTGGTAACCAGGACAGTGTCCGTCACCCCATGATTATATATTGAATGTGTCAGGAATTCCTCGTACTTGGACTGAGCATCCAGTGGCAGGAAACTAAACTGTAAGGGCGAGGCTAGAAACGTGAGTGCCCGCCGAGTGGGAGCACACAGTTTGGAGAAAGTCCTCCTGTGTTTCATTTACTCCTCGCCACCACCGTTGTCAGGAGCTTTTATGTAATGGGGCTAATATATTTAACTTACGATGTTTGTAAAACTTTTAACTGCAAGGGACCTTAAGAGTATATAGACTTAAATATATTAATATAGTTCATCCTTCAAACTTTGAAGCTGCGAAAACTGAGGTTTATTAAATTGTACAGCTGAGTTGCTGGTAGGTAATGAGAATTTGTTCTGGGACTTACTGCGGGACTCCTCAAGATACAGCTCTATTTGTAAGGATAAATGAAAGTAACTGTAAGGATTTATTAAGAAAGGAAAATAATTTCTTTTTAGTCGGTTTGTGCCACTCCCAGTGTCTGTGCAGCCAAGAATCAATCATAATTAGGTGTTGCTATTCCAGAGGCTCTGACAGCGTGGAGTATGGAATGCCTCTTACAATGAAAGTATTAAAACATCCGTCTGTTTTAAGTGACTCTGTAACTGGGATTAAATCACACTTGTGACACTCAGCATGGCGGCTCGGCCCTTGTCGGCTGCAACTTGTCTCTGGTTGTTTCTTAAGTCCCCCGGTCTTCTGTTTTCTGCCTTTTGTCTGCCATTCATTCCTTCACGTACCTGCACGCGCAGCAGGTATTTGCAGAGCGCCTACTGGGCAGCAGGCATCGGGGTTTAGCCTGGAACAGAAGCCCACCGGGTCCCTGCCCTTGTGGAGCTTACAAACAAGTGGGAAGGAGAGAAAGGCAAGTGCAAGGACAGGGCTGCCAGGTCGTGATTGTCCGTGTTTGATTTTAGAACCCCCTGCAGGTAATAAAAAGAAAGCAGCATTTCTTTCTGGTGAAAAACTTGGAGATTTTCTTCCTTCCTGAAAATCGCTGCTTTCTTTGTATCCCTGACCCTATAGTGGGTGCTGTTACTATTCTTACTACTTACTGGGTTGGCCAGAAAGTTTGTTTAGTTTTTTCCATGTGATGCCTCTAGTAGTGCTTAGTTGTCTAACTTCATTTGAAACAATTTTGTTAGATTGTATTACGACAGCTGTTATATCAGTGTACATTTAAAAAAAGTAATCAAAATTGGTGAATTTTTGTGCAGCCATTTTAATATTGAAGATGGAAGAAGATATACAACGTTTTTGGCATATTATGCTTTGTTATTTCAAGAAAGGTTAAAGCACAATTGAAACAAACAAGATTTGTGCAGTGTATAGAAAAGGTGCTGTGACTGATCGAACGTGACAAAAATGGTTTGCGAGGTTTCTTGGTGCTATTGACATTTTGGCCAAATCATTCCTTGTGGTGGGGCTGCCTTATGCAGTGGAAGATGTTTAGCAGCACCCTTGGCCCCTACCCACGAGAAACCAATAGTGGGAGATAGCCGACATGCTCAAAATATCCAAATCAATAAAGTTATTGGTGAAAATGTGTCTTTTATTTTACGGAAAAAACTAAATGGACTTTTTGGCCAACCCAATGCCTAATGTCTGTTGAATGCTTATTCTGTTACAGGCATTGTGCTAAGAGCTTTGTGTATGTAGCACCTTATAAGGTGGGCATTACGCCATTCCATTTTACTCTCGAGAATTACAGGGCCCAGGGATGTTCACTAAAGTATTAATGCTCAGCAAGTAAGTGGTAGAGCCTTGATTTGGACCCAGAGTCCAACTCCAAAGTTTGTGCATCTGTACCAAGTGTTGCAAGCTGAAGCACCTTTATTTTTTATTATAACAGTGAAGGTTTTTGTGCTCATCTTTTTGCCTTTATTTCACTAACTGGGCAAAACTTTATGACATTTCTTAAAAGTTCAGCCACTTTTAACTCCATTTGTAATGAAAATTTATGCCATTTGCAAGTGAACTCAGAAAAAATATATTATTAAAATAAACTTTTAAAATGTGATATACTGAATGTGGCAGACATGAGGAAAATCTAGTTGTATTGAATTCGTATTCTAATGTAAGTCTTATAATAGTCTTCTATACGCATCTAAAGTGCCTTGTGAGCACAGTGCTTGTCGTCTAGTAGGTGATCCATAAATGATAGTAATTTTTAGTATTTTACTTTCTGCCTCACTTGTTAAGTAGATAATATTTTTTACTTGCAGGTGATAGGCTTGTGAAAATGCTTTAACTGCACAGTTTGGTAATCTGAGTCAGTAACCTCAGCAGTTACCAGCACAGCATTCTCATGTGGGCCACTTCATCGTTTTTAATGTCACTCACCTTTTGTGTTTCTCCAGCATTTATTTGGGTACAACTACATTTTGGTCCTTGAGGACTGTGGCCCACGACCTTTAGTATGCATCAGAATTACCTGGGAGCCTTACTAAAAGATAGTTTTCTGCTCCCCTAACCCCCACTGCCAAGATTCTGGGCCCAGCAGGTGTGGGGCGGTGCCTGAGAATTTTCATTTCTAACAAGCTCCCAGGTGGTGTAATCATACATGTCCAGTGAGTTGATGGATGGAATCAAGATGTTGCTGCTCTTATTGTGAAATCTACTGCGATGTAATATAGAGAAATTTGGTTTGTGTAAGTCTGATTGTTCTTATTACTTAAGAAAAAAATTTCCTAAGCAGTTACTTTTGCATTAGAGAATTTCAAAGTGTTTCTTTTAATTGTTTCTATTATTTATGTTTATTCAAGAACACAAAAACAAGGTTTAAGGGAATACATTATAACTTTGGAATATATTTTACAAGGTGATTTTACCTGTTGTAATTGATTTCTGAGAATTATAGGGTATCAGGATGATGTAGCAATTTAAAAATAGTAACAATTTTTTTCCTTTGGCCCTTCCCAAGAATTTTTAAAACCAAACTTCGATAGACTAGTATTGAGTTCATTTGTTGCTCATCATTTCCACTTATAAAGTAGGTTTCACTCAGAGTTTCACTTATACTGACATAACAATTTTACCTTTCAAAGCATCACTTAAACCTTTGGGGATATGATGGTATAGAGGGGTTATTCTCTCCAAGAAGAAAAGGCAATCAGAAAATCTTTGTCCATGAAATTAGACTGAAATGTACTCTCACTTATCTGAATACCTTTATGTGCCAGGCTCTATGGTGAAGATCGGTGCCAGCGTAATTTATCTTTTTCAGATACAATGACGGGTATTAGTGAGCAGTAACTTAATATGATCTAATTGTGTGATGAGGTTACTGATAAACCTAATGCAACTGGATGCTTTATTAATAGAATGAGCATTGTGTGCGGGTCTTGGGAGGTACAGTTCTGTTTTATTTTGCTAGACGGCGTCCGCTGTGTTACATCTAGTTTGGAGCTCAGGGGCACCCTGGAGTGGCTCCAGGTGCGAGGGGCCCTGCTGCTGAAAGGTCGGGCCAGTTCTGCATGTGAGGATTGTTGGCAAATGGGAGTTATTCAGTGGGAGGGTAGACACCTTAACTTTCAGTCACCTGCTGCAGTATAAGATCCATGAGGACGGGGCATGTCCGTCTTGTTCAGCACCACATCTGTAGCGCCTCCTGCAGTGCCTGCTGCATGATCAGTCAACAGTTGATTTCAGCCCATTTTGAGGGGGAAGAGGTGGTCACTTTCAAATATTTGTCCTGTCGATGGCTCGTTAATTAGATTTATTACTTGTATCTCCCGAGGACAGGTGGTGGCACCAGGGATGGAATTTCTAGGTGGGCAGATTTCAGTTTTACATAAGAAGAACTTTGTAAAACCAGCTTAGCAGTCACACGGAGGAACTTCGTGTCTTTGAACTGTTATTTTAAATGCTCAGGAAAGTTTGCGTGGGGATTTGCTAGAAAAGGTTCTTGCTTTTGATAAACTGGAGGCCAAGATGATTTCAGCTGGTTCTATTTTTATTTAAGTATTTCATTAAAAAATAATGTCAACTGTTAAGTGTTTCCTTTCTTAGTTAGACCTTCCTTGTCTTTCCAGGCTAAAGCAAGGCAAAGACCTGGAGCGCGAGAGGGCCCTTGCCAACGAGCAGCTGACCAGGGCGATTCTCCGAGAGCGGGTGTCGAGTGAGGAGGAGCGCGCCAAGGCGAAGCACCTGGTGAGTGTTAAACGTGGAAGGAAGAGAAATGTCCGGTTTGTAAGGAAATCTCTGATGTGTGGGAATAGCTGAGTGCTCCATGCCAGCGATTATTAGCATTGATAAAACTCATTTTTTTTGCTGAGGTTTCCTTGACTTTTGCCTTTTACAAATAGCCAGCACTTTGCTGAGATGAACCATGAAGGACTTTTTAGGGCAGGTAACTTCAGAGTGAGTGCAGTAGAAGAGTAAAAGTCAGTACCGGGACACAGGCATGGCATCTTGCCTGGAGGGACAGTGCGTGCGTGCACAGTGCCTGCCGCCCCCCGACTTCAGGGCACTGAAAACCCTGGGCCTGCAGCCTGGCTCGTTTCTCTGCCCTGGCAACTGTCAGCTGTTCGTTTGGGAGGTCTCCAGCAAAGGCCAGTCCCTCTCTGGGGCTTAGAAAGCGGGAAACATAGAGCCAGGGCTTTGGGGAACCATCTTCTTTTTTTCTTTTTTTTTAGATTTTATTTATTTATTTCTAGAGAGAGGGGAAGGGAAGGGAGGGAGAAAGAGAGGGTGAGAAACATCGATGTGAGAGAGAGGCATCTATCAGTGGTGTCTTGTACGCGTCTCAGTCAGGGACTGAACCTGCGACCCAGGCATGTGGCCTGATCGGGAATGGAACTGGCGACCTGTCGCTTTGTGGGATGATGCTCCAACCAATTGAGCTACACTGGTCAGGGTGGGGGAACCATTTTGTTTTAAAGAAAAGAAATAATTAAAACATTTTTAATTTTAAAGATTACACAAGCATGTCTAAAAATGATTATTAATAGAAAGAAGAAAACTTAAAAGGCACCCATCAGTCATTCTCACACAGCCACTATTGACATTGAGATGCGTTTCCCTCTGAATAAACAATTTTTATTCCCAGGTCTGTTACATATTTAAGAACTTGGATAACGCTGTATGTAGTGTTCAGCATCAGGAACATTTTCTTATATAACCAAATGTTCTTCTGAAATATACTGTTTAATGGCCAATAATATTCTGTGTTCTGTGTGCAACATAACTTATTAAGTGATTTCCCATTGTTGGATGAAAGAAGAACTGGTCTGGGTGAGGCTGGGGGCCTGACTGCTCAGGCCCCACTTCCACCTTCCTAGAAACCCCCGAGTGACCCCTCGGAACCGTTCGTGGTTGTTGGAGCGTAGTAGGGAACTCACGGCGAAGTACACTGGGATTCTGCGCCACAGAACTGTGAACGCAGGACTGGGAGGGGCGTCCTTAGTTCAGCAGGCAGCTGGGAATTGTTAAAAATTTTAGGAAGAGGGTCCGTTTCTGTTCTCCTGTTCTTTCTCTTGGTCCTTTCTTTGAGAGGCTGACCTATGACTATACCAATAAAAAAAAATTAAAGAAACTATTAATGTGTGATGATGAATCCACTGCTTTGGCGACTCACCCAGGGTCCAGGCCGAATGAGTAAACAGTGAAGCCAGAATAGAGGTGATGGATTAAGAAATGTCCGGTGCCTGGCTGGTCGGCACCACAAAGGACGGTGTTGAGTGGAACTGAGGCCGGGCGATGTGGCAGAATGGCTCTTTGTCACGAAAGGGGGATAATTTCAAAATTAAAGACAATAGTGCTGAGTAAGGCAGTCACTGCCGATAGCTGCTGTACGCCTGAGAGTCATTTCCGCTGATGTCATAACCTCCCAGTTGGAAGGCCGGGGTGGAGTGGAGGCAGTCAGTAGTGCATGTGTTTAGGGAAGGTGGGGATCAAGCTTCTTAGTTTCTAGGGGGCGGAAGGATCCTTGGTTGGCATTTTTCTTTGTGCCGCAGCTCTTGCCTCTTGTCTTTGAATCCCTCTTCTCTCTACTAGGATGGCATCTGATTCAGAGGGTGAGACATTTGAGCAGTGGCTGGTGGCCACAGGAACATGGCTATCTATTGTAATTTAGGTGCCCCGTGACTCTGAACACCTTTATCTGACTGCCCCTCTGTTGTCATTATTCATTATCATAGAAGACACACGTGTTCAGTGGGTCAGGGTCAGAAAACAGACACAGAAACCTTAAGTCACTCAAATTACCGCTCTCCAGAGATAATTACTGTTAAGTTTTTGGCTTACTGTTTTTATATTCCTTTTCACACTCCGTAAAAAAAAAAAGTCTGTAAAAAACATTTATATTAGTATGGGTATATGTGGAGCCCCAACCATAGGTGATAATAAATAAGTCTTGTATAACTCTTACAATAACCCTCACATTTAAAAAATTAGACTCTATGGTAAAGGTCTTTCTATACTAATAAGTATGTATTTGTGTGATCATTTTTAATGGTTGAGTATACGTCACTAGATTTTCCTCTAATTATTAAAATCATACAGGGATATTGTAGAAAACTTGGGAAATAGAGACATTACGAAGGGACTCCCTCATATCCATCAAGGTGGCTGCTGTCAGAAAGACAGACAATGACAAGGTTGATGGCCACGTTGCGGGAAAGTAAAATGGCTCGGCCGCTGTGGACCACGGCGTGGCAGCCCCTCAGAAAATCAAAGCTAGAATGATTGCATGATTCAGCAATCCTGCTTCTGGGTATCTAGCCAGCAGAACCGAAAGAAGGTCTCAGAGAGATATTTGTATGCCCATGCTCACAGCAGCACTGGGCACAGTAGCCAAAAAGTGGAAGCAGCCCATGGGTACGACAGATGAGGAGACAAACAGAAATGTGGTGCGCCCAGGCAGTGAGGTGATATTTAGCCTTAAAAAGGAAGGAGATTCTGACACATTGTGCAGCACGGATGACCCTTGAGGACATTATGCTAAATGAGACCAGCCAGTCACAAAAGGACAAACACCGTGCGGCCCCACCCGCGTGAGGTTTCCCGAGTCGTGAGATTCCTGGAGACAGTGAGTGAAGTGTGGGTGCCGGGGCTGGGGCGGAGGGAGGGGCGGGGAGCTTTTGAACGGGTGAGGGGTTTCTGGTTCGCAGTGTGAAGAGGATCCTGGAGGTTGGCTGCACAGCGAGGGGAAGGTACTTTACATTCCTGAGCTGCACACTTCTAAGTGGTTGAGATGGTAAATTTTATGTGTATTTTAGCACAGTTGAAGGTTAGAAAAAACTACCAAGAAGTTAAGCAGTATTGCACATATAATTAATGTGTAGGGGTATAAAGTTCCTTTTGGCTTTCCTCCCCGTGGATGCCGTCCAGGTTTTCAGATTCTGTACCCCCCGCCTTGTAAAAAGCGTGGTGTGGAACTTCAAGCTGATTGTTGTCCCTGCCTCTCCTAATCCCAACCTGGGGAAGCGGGCATCCTCTGAGCCTGTGATCCATGGGAGAGTCACCCCAGGAACATGCACATCGATCTGCTGCGAGGGCTGGGTCCCCACTCCTGTCATCCTTAGCCCTGAGATGTGGGACTCTGAGTGATGGCCAAACATTGATTTGCTCCTCTCTATTGAGAACCCCAGTGTTGCAGCCTGTGCAAAAGTAAAGGTTAGGTTTCACATGTTTGCAGGAATTGGAAAGCTGTCTTTCAGGAAAACTAGGGGAAAAAAAACCCAAACTGATGTGATGTTGGTACTGTCAAATGAAACGAACAACTCCTTCGCTCCCGTCTCCCCCATCCCCTGACAGCTGACATTTAGATGGCTGTCTCCTTAGATGTGAGCTCAGGCTTTCTTCCCACAGTTGTAGCGGCTGGCTTTCTTAAAGCCCTTTGAAGGGCAGTGTCATGGTGGCCTTGTTGTCGAAGTTTTGAAATAGGATCAGATCGAAACTTTCCCCTTTGGAAGAATTGCTTTAGCTGCAGAAGCCGTAAGTCCTGCCTTAGATTCAAGAAGAGCGCACCTGCCCCTCCTCCTGCCTCTGACTGGTACCAGTATTTCAGTCCCCTGATTTTACCCAGAGGTTTTAGGGGAGGCAGTTCACTGGTAATTTTACCTACATGAAGTATTAATTAAAATTCATACTAAAGCCATGCTTCTTAGGAGCAGGACAGCACCTTGGTAAAGAGTGAAGACTCTCCTCCTACGAAGGCGTGTCTGTGGTTCTCCGTCTTCGGACACGTAAGAATTGGAGGCACAAAAACGTGGATTTGGAGAAGTCTGGGGCCAGCTTGCTCCCCGCAGGCTCAAGATCAACCATCCCACATAGAGAAAAAAAAAAGAAAAGAAAAGAATGAAGACTAAATAAGAGGAAACCTGTACAGTTAATGTGATTTGCCATTTTGTGTATCTTCTAAGATCTCATGCATATAAATCTAATTTGCTGTGTCATTAGGTTTTTTTATATATATACAAAGCAGGGAGTTGCCTTCTTCTGACTTTGCAATTATATTTGATTTCTTTTTTAAAATGTCAATTAAAATTTGATCGACTCTTTTTTCTTCTCTCATTAGGCTGTTTCAACATTAGTCCTTGCTCATTAAATTTAAACTTGAAAAGAAGCCCCACTTACCTAAGGGAATAGTTGAAGTATTCTGGAGTTTATAAACTTAAATGTGAAATACTATTCTTCACTCTTTGGACAGATGTTTTATTGAGTGCTTACTGTATGTTGGATTGTGAAGACGTATAAATGAGAAAGACAAAATCCTGTTCTTAAAGAATTCACAGTATCATGTGGGAGACATATATTTAAAATAATGTTAAAAAGTGTTAAGTCTGTTATCGAGCCATGCTACTTACATTTTTGTGAGAATTTTCACTTTTGTGAAAGCAGGGACCTTCTTTTAACTCCTTGCTACATCTTCCTGTACTCGGTCAACACACACTTGCAAAGAGTAAACAGTCAGCAACCACTCGTTGATTAAATAAATGGAGAATGGAAGCTACTCAAGCCCTGGAAATGGAGGGAGAGGAAATGGGGAAGAACAGAAAAGATTTCCCAGGGAAGTGGTGCCTGAGCTGAGTCTTGACGTGTAGGAACTGCACGTGGGGCTGAGGCGCCGGGGTGGCCCAGCTCGTGATGGTGCGGGCGAAAGCACGGAAGCGTGGGGGCCGTGGGGCACCGCAGGAGCTGCTGAGTGG